TCAACTTATAGAATCCATTGGCAGAAGTCGTCGTGTAATAACTAACGATGCTAATGTTGCAAAACAAAAGAGAGAACGAAATGAAACCTCAAAAAAAAAAAAAAATAAAAAAAAATAAAAATAAATTAGCGAACGCGAGTCGTTATCTCGAACTATTATTTTTCATCTTCACCCCGAGCAAAATCCCCCCGGGCTCTGATAAGTACATATTGGACTTGGCCCCTTCCCCAGCCATTAGCATCAAGGTAAATCAACCCCTGACGGAATCTGAAACCTGCGAGAGATCGAGAACGAGAGAAGGAAAAAGGAGGTCATTTATTTGGTTACTTAGCGGCGTGTGCAAAGACCGGAGGATCGTCAGAGGAGAAGAGAGAGAGAGAGAGAGTAGCAAGTTTGGTGGGCAAATTGGTAAAAGCGGCTAGTTTGTCGCGAGACAACTTTCCACTTCGTTTAGCGATAATTTCAAGTCGTTCGTGTTTCACGGTCAGTTAGCTGGCCGTTGCAGTTCGACGATCGTCACGCAGAAAATGGCTCCGCTTTGGCGCAGAGAAATGTCTTTACCTAAATGTTTATTAGAGTGACGCGTTCGCCTCTGCTTTTGCTCCCTGTGTGAAGAGCCATCCGGTGTAGCCATTCTGGTGGCACGTCGACGAGCTGCTTCGGTCCGAAAACGTCTTCTTTCCAACCGGAGCAATCCAACCGAGAGGAGGAATTATGAGAAGTACCGCATTGATCGGTACCATCTTTTCTATCGTTTCTCCCCGCTCCGTGAAAATTGCATGATATCCTCTTCGAGGTCTCTGCTGCATTCCGTTCAATGTTCTTCCACGCGCGGACCACGCGATGGCGGCTGCTTCGTCAAGTGAAAGCAATTGGAATTAAGAGAAACGAAGCGAGACGCGCTCGATTTATTCCTCGGTGAAATTTCGTCGATTTGAAGTAAAACTTTGGTCTAATGCACTGGTTCCCAATCTTTTCTTTTTTTTTTTTTCTTTTGGCCATGCCCCACCTCTGTGACACATAATTCTTATTATTCGAAAAAATGGAGGATTTTTGACGTGGAAGAAAAGGCAATTAACTTGGTCTAAACGAACTTCCAAAAAACATGACCGTGAAAGAAAGAAATTAGAATGTTAAATTTTCATTTAAAGAAATGTAAAAAAAAAAAATTCATTGTTAGTAACTCATTCTTGAATTGCTCCCCCCTGTGGGGTGTGGAGAGCCACGGTAATGGTAAAAGATGGCTGAACTAAATGGTCAGAGATGCATAGACCAGTGATTAAAGACAATATTACTGTATTTTTGTAGAATCTATAAAAAAAGTGGAAAAACTCTTTGTGCTTGAAAGTGTCGTTTCGTTCGTGTAAGTTTGACAATATTCTTCGTGGTGCACGGAAAGGCATGCAAAATGAATTTGTGGGTCGTTGCATGATGACAGGAGAATTGCTTCGTGGAGTGTAATGGAACTTTGGTTATCTGAATCCCCATTATTCGAGTAGTACAATACATTTTAATGAATGAACGTTTCCTTATTCTGAAAAGAATATTTAGGCACTAGTAAATAATATATTTTAATTTCACTAGTAAATATATTTAAATATATTTTAATTCACTAGTAAATATATTTTAATATTTTAATATTAAATTCTTCCAGTATTTTCAATGTCTTTCATATTAAATTATTTGCACATTTTATTGTGATGGTGTATTCTTTTTATTTATAAAAAGAATCTATTAAAATGCAAGATATATGTATTAAAAATAATATAAAATATATTATTACACTATTATACACTATAATATGTATATATTATATAATATATTATACACTATTTAATACAAAATATAATATAAAAAATGACATACAATTCAGTAGTAGATCAACCTTTTGGTCATCGTCGACCGAGATGTATATAATTTTTCCACAGACTGAAATAACAAACAGAAATAGATACCGATGTTTTTAAGCATCAAAATGTGAGTTATTTATGTTCTAAAAAAAAAAAGAGAGATAATTCAGCAGTTAAAATATCAGAATAAGCTGATAATATTCTTGACTTCTATTTCAGTGCCAAGCAAGAGATATCACGTAAATTGAAGTAAAAAAACACGGAATACAGAGTGCAAATTTTAAATATTGTTTTTTCAGACTTGGAATTAGTTTTTTATCAATTTAGAACAAGCTTCTCTATCTTATCAATAATTTGATGACCTAGTTGTGATAACGATTCAGAAAGAAAAAAAGGTATTATTAATTTGGTTTCATTTAACATAATAACCAAACCAATGTGTACATACATATAAATTTTATAAATTAACAGTGATGCAAGAGATGTGAATGATATATTTTGTAAAATATATAAAGTAAATGGAATCTGTGTTCTTTATTCTATTTTTATTGAACTTTTCTAGCATAGAGATTTATAATTTTGTGGCCAAAGTTAGAATTATCCGATGAACGATTGAATTTTTTGAATCGTTCCTTAAAATTCAATATGATATCAGAAAATTCAATATGAGAATCAGAAAAAAAAAGGAAATATATCTGCGTTCTTGTAATTAGTGATTACACACTTTTCTATTGATATGTGCCTGTACGATACGAAAAATAATATTCCACTTAATACAAATAATACGTAGCTATCATCATCATAAATATTGATATCATACATATATTAATTAATCTGTCAATTGCGATTCGTAAGATCATATTATGAATAATAACAACAATTACTGCAAACAACACGTATTAATATTGTTATTAATTATATTAATTAACCTATCAATATTTCTCATACGTGCATCTCTACAACGTGTGAAATTTTTCAACCAAAAAACCGATTGTTATCATTTACTTTTGTTCGAAGTACGAAACGATCGGAGCGATCTGTATTTAGAACTTAATCATTTATCTACGCGAAATTTCCTATAAATAAGAGGCTGTTGGGAAATATCACGTCCCGTCGAATAAAAGTGGCCGGTGAATTTTATTATCCGCGTGAAAACGATAACGTTTGTTCGCGGCTTTCGAGGCTATAGCGCGAGGCTATAGGCGAGATCGGTAATTGGCGCTCATCGAGCAGCGATAATCGCAACGCGCCGCTTTGGATCGCGTAATTGCGTGAATGAGCTGTCGATTATCGCCACTTACGATCGATAGGCGCAACGAGGAGGACGCGTGTGCTCGTGGCCACCTCGGAGGAATGCGTGCTTCGCGTTCTACCGGACTATCGAGAACGTCTTCGACAATTGTTCGCGCCTCGCCTGCGATATAAATCGTAGTCTACGAATGGAAAACCTTGATCTACAATCTGAATTTCTGATCAGAAATTATTTCCAGATATTAGACGCGTTTGCTTTCGATGTCTCGTGTGTTTTTACGATTCATGTGAATTCTGACGATCTTTCGTATTTCTCGATTTCTCGCAAACGTGAGGAAATTTCGCAGTTCTCATCGCTGAATTTATGAAATTGTATGAAAAACTGTCTAGTTTGCAACGAAAAATTACGTGATTAGAATTTGACATTTATGAGAAAAATTTCACTGATCGATTAATAATATATATTTCTAATTTTTTATTTAGTTACGCAAAATACCTTCATAATAATCGATAGAGTAATTTTATTTCCTGCAGGAAACTGGGCAATTGAATCATTGAATATTTCTCGTTACAGACAATAAAAAGTATTCACAATTTTAAAAATCTCGGCTCTGATACTTACACTATAGTTATATTAACAATAAACCTATCGTATCATATCAGAATAAAATGAAGATCCAGTTTATGAAACCATCGTTCATTATATAAAAAAAAAATATACAAAGTACAAAAATTACTTTTTAATATCATATAATACATAAATTTTTAATGATATCAAGTTTCAAGTAACATGCCTCTTAGACTTTCTTTCTTCATTGATCTGGTAGCAAAAAATTGTATCTCATTTCTGACATCAATGTGTTACTATTCTTTATATTGAATTTTTCAGAATAATAATTCACCACTATATCAACTTCATTTCATTCTATATACTACGTGTATAGAAACTCTATTGTAAAATGTTCGATGAATTTTTCCGAGTCACAGTATATTCGCGTACTTTGAACCAGTCACGAGCGAATAGTTCCAATTATATTTTTTCGAACGTAAAATGATTTGGCTTTGAAATCAGACAGCTATTCTTTGATTCACGGATCAATATCAAGCACGAGCGGAAATCAACAGTGACGTTCGAATTCGAATTCACGATCGAAATGGGGGGGAACAAACGAGTATTCGTTCGACCTAAACGCCACCTAATAAAAATTGGGACATCGCGCGAACAATCGGCTCGTCGAGCGATCCGAACGTCCATATTTTAAAATACACCTCCGCTGCGGGCGAGGAGGCGATCATTATGCAGATGGCGCCCTTTTTTCCTCGCTGTTTCGCGCCCGCTCTTTACTCTCTCTCTCTCTCTCTCTCTCTCGAAATTACGTTTAGCATCGCTAAGTTGATCGAGTTTCCTCTGCAGTTCTCCCTTCTTTTTTTACACGGCGGGGGAAAAAAGGAACAAGAAAGTGAAAAAACTCGAGCAAATATTTGCCCGACGACGCCTCGAATTCGATCGTGACGCGTTCGCCGGTTTGTCAGCGTTTAAGGAAGTATTCCCGTTTCGAGAAGCCGATTTTTTCGGCAATCTCTCGTTTCTCGAGAACCCTGTAACTTTCCTAAATTTTAATATCTTCGACACGTATCCTCGATATGAAGAAGAAAGAAATTTCTCGAATTAAGGAATACAGAGAAAGCGGAGAAGCTAGAACCTAGGATCTAGATTCGTTCGGAGTAAAAAATATATCATTTATTCGTTGCAAATTTCATACTTCGAAAAGGAGATAAAGTATTACATACTCTGCCCATACCAAAGGGATTTAAATTTAATTACAAAGTATCTCGTTAGAATTTCATTTCTTTGAAACAACTCTCTAAGAAATGATCTGTTCAAATCAGGAAAATTACTATGATTATGTACAAAGTAGGATTTAGAACTAGACTGGAACAACTACAGGTAAAAACCTATAAATACAAAATAATAATAAAATAGCAATCAAACGAAAGAATGATAGTAGGTAGTTATAGTGTACGTTTTAATGAGTGTTTTAAGGTTTCCAAGGACACGTATATATACAAGTAAACCATTTCTACCAAATTGATTAATTCTAAGGAAATGAAAAAATAGGGAAACTGATAAAATAATGTTCTTTTACAAAATTCATTCTAAAATCTAAACCCAAATAAACATTGCGTGACGTATTAATCTGAAGATATACAAAATGCATGAAATCTTTGGAATAATCTCTGAAAATTTTTCTAACGTGAAGTCCAATTATCGAGGAGATTTATCTTAAATATGAAAAACGTTTCGACACCGATATTTAAAAGGATTCGGGCAGCAAACTTCATTCAGTTGTATTTAAATTTCGCATACGAGTATAAATTTACAAAATAATCTATGAAAATACACATGTAAATTCTATTTTAAAAAATTGCAAACTGTAATTGCAACTCGTTGTAAACGTTACGATTCAATGAGAAAGACCGTCATAGAAATCTTGAAACGATTTTTGTCTTTGATTGGCCGCGTCTCTTCTCTGTGAACGACATCGACCTACGATAACGTTCGAACGGGCCACGAAGCGTTGATACGGGGTCATTCGAGAAAGAGAGAGAAAGATAAGCTCTCGAACGGTGATGTGTAATTTCCAAGGTCTATAAATTTGTCGCGTGATCTTGCGAAAGTCACTCTCTAACCCAGTGAACTCTTTACTCTTGATCATCGTGCAACAGCAACTCGTCTTGAAAACAGAGGATTCTGGAATGACGTTGCTAATTTCACGTTTGTAATCAGCCGAGATTTATCTCACGTCCACGAGTTGTTGCTCCATTTCTCGCGAGTATCACAGAAACTTCCACATTCGAATGTTATTCGAACAGAATATTTGTCAGAATTTTTAATTGACAGATGCCCTTTTCTTTGTACGAATGTGAATTATCCCGTACGATTGCGACAGGTTTAAAAGGTTCATCTCTTTTAATTTTGTTTCATCGTCGAGGAGAGATAACACCGTATTCTTGGAATTCTCATCACGCAGTCAGAAACAGATCCGGCGATGTGGAATAATTAGGGGAGAAAAAAAAAAATTGCAGATGAAATGTTGCGCTCACACATCGTTGGCCTTTAATGGGTTAATCGTGTTCGTTCGTACGTTGTGTACGAATGTTAACTGCAACGAGCGCTGAAACATAAATTTTGGTACCATTTATTTCGCGACAAGATGCACGGTTATTTCTCGATTATCTCCAAGCAACAAACGAATAATTCCCGATGTATTATACTGATCTTTACGTTTAACTTATGCTTGAAAATGTTTCTCCGTTTGTATGTTTTATTTCAATGTTCGAATTTTTACTTACCCTTTTCTTTGAATCGAGTAAAAATATTCTTGGTCGACGGAATTTTCAGGATTTCTTCATCTTTCAATGTTCCAACTTCGATAAAATGACTTTTAAAATATATATATGTATATACCGTGCAACAGACTGATCATTTTAAAGAGCAGACTTCGAGATCTTTGAGATCGTGGATCAGTGACGAAGAAAATTTTTTCAGTGTAAAAATGACAGTGTAACACTTCGTCGCGTGTTCGTGTATTTAAATAAAATTTGATCACTTGCGTGGTCAAATTAATGCGATGAAAATTTCTATGATGCTGTTTGCTCGACACGACAGCGAGAGAGAGAGACGAGACGAGAATGCTCGTGTCGATCGACTCGGCTAGAGTCTCGTCGAATTGAAAAATGAAGTAGAATATGCCGTTTCCGGCGGGCTGCTTTCACTTTGAAACGATCCGCGCCGGCAGAACGCGGACGCTTTAATGAAATTGAAACAGAATCGGAACGCGAGGCCCGGGGATCGAAATTCACGGAGGGCAATTTGTCCTGAGATTCCCGTCGACTGATGAAATTACTACCTAGATATTGGGCTTTTACAGAACTTGCTTGCGTCCTCGCCGTCTCCGCGAGAGTTCATTCCTTTGTTCCCCCCCTTTCGTCCTTTCAATTGGATTATTTTTCCTGTTTTTTGTGCTGAGCTACGTAATTAGATAATGCATTTCGCGAACAGATCTGTATATAAGAGGTTCTATATAAAATATATTACACACGAAATAACAGTAAATATGTGTAACAGTGAATATAAAAGAATAAATGTGTATAGGAATAGAGGATGATTGATATGCCTGTGTAAATGTGTATTACAATGCATGTATAATTAATAGTTATATATTGATAATTCTAGTAATAATACGATATTAATAATTAATGATTAATAATTGATTGATTAATAATAATAATAATTTGTACAGTCTTACTGTATGTATAATATGTCACACTTGATGCGTATAATATAATATAATACGATAATTCACAGACTTTATTGGAAATAATAAGCAAATTGATGAAAGTTTGGCAAAAGTGGATCTTATTTTCACTAAATACGCTGTCGAAGGTGCAACATGTATTTCCAAATGACCTTAACGATAATATAATGGAAGTCCCTATACTTGATTATACTTCAATATTCTCCTACTAAATTATTTTCCTTCCTTATGAAAACATAAAAAAATGGGAGAGCAAGAGAACTCGAGAGACGTATTCTATTCGAACATTATATCCTCGCTTGGATTTCTATCGATCGAACGCAATTAGAGTGGCGTTACGTAAAATTCAAATGGCAGAGAGAGGGAGAAGTGGCACGTTGGCGAGAACGCGTCGAAGAGAAGACGAAGATCAGAGAAGTTCGTAGAACCGTGAAGTAGACTCTCGTCGAACAATGATAGGTTACGAGGATGTATAATCACGACACTATTCCAGCGACAGACGACAGTACAGAAACAGAAGTTGGAAAGCGACTGATGCTCAAGTGCTGATCAGACAAGCACCAGAGGGAATACCGAACGGCTGACGAGAAAGAGGATGAGAGATCAGAAGTAAAGAACCGGAGGATGAGGTCGAGGAGCGATGTGAAACTACCTTTCGACTTGCGTTCGATGCTTCTACTAGCGAAGAATTATTATTGCACGGCGTTATTTACACGCGGCTTTCATCAGGAAATTGTTCTTGTTTTTGAGGACACTTGACGATTCTTTGCAATGAAACTCTATGACTGTGCGTGAGAATTGCTTGTTACAAAGTTTCTCTCATTTTTTCTAAGAAAACATTCTTTTTGTCGGAATACGTTAACAAAGTTCTGTTACAGAACATATTCTTCGATATGAGATTTCAAAGATATAACTTTTCATGATGCAACTATTGACCAAGTTGTCAAAAAATTTCTCTTTCATTTCCCAAGACATGATTCTAGTCGAGGATCTTAGGACAAATCTGTGCTTGTTTCAAAATTGGAAAAATTAAATAGTACCTTATGAAGAGTTTTAATATATTAACAATTATATGATAAAATACTCGTGCAGTTTGGAAGATTTATTATCTAAAAGTACAAGACTATTTATATCGACTATGCTTTTAATTTGAGAAGATACAATAACAATTATAAAGGAAGAAGTTCAACTTTGAAAAAAAGAATAATTCGTCTGATTTCATAAAATCAAATTACTCAAAATCCTAGCCGAAGTTTTCAAAAATTTTAATGATTATAACAGTTTGAAAAAAGAGAGAGAGGAACCAAAAAGAAAAAAGAAAAATTGTGAGGAAAGTTGCGCATCTCGTTAACTGACGTTAAAACAAAGAGCTGCAAAAACGAACGGCGACACAAACATCTCTCGACGTAAAAAAAAAAA